TGTAGTGGCGACCCGTGACCATGGAGATATAAACAGCTTTTTATAAGGTAAAAATAATAAAACAAGGTCTTTGTCTGCAATGACTAGACATGTTTTTTTATTATTGTCATTAGTGATTATCTCAATTTCGGCTAAAAGAATTGACAAAATCCTACACACTGTGCCTTTAATGGTGAAAATTCCAAACAGATGAATTTTCTTGGTCATATCTTGCCTTTCACGTATCAAAACTTTTCAAGACATTCCCACCGGCAAGCTCAGGAGCCACATCTGGCCTGTGACCCCCAGCGAGTATCCCATCCAGCTTGCGGTTTACCTCCACCAGTGTTTGAGTCTAAGTGTGGACAGCCCGGCAAATCCCATCACATAAGCCCTGCAGTCTCCACAGGTCCAGGATAGCTCTCAGCACTTTCCGTATTTCATGATATGCCAGATATCCACCACTGCCAATCAGTAGAAATCCTTCTATCATAAATCCAATTATCCAGACATCTTCGACATCCTCAATCAACAATGGAGCCAGGTACCTTATCCTCCACTCGCCCCAGGAGTCCAGAATGTGCCTTGCTGCATATGTTCCATCAGGACAAGTAGGCTCGCCTTTGCCCACTTTCCATGTAGAAAAAAATTGCTCAATAGCATTGAGTGACCAGCTGACCAGATCCATAATTTCTAGTTTGGATGATATGTAAAAGAGGCTCCAAAATGCAGCAAAGCAGGGTAGATAAGGGAAGGCTGAGGAGAGAGGGAAGTTCAGCCTTCACTGAGAGCAGAAGCAAAAAAAATTTAAATAAAAACAAATTTTAAGATGCAGGTGGCAATTAAAGCTCCAGGGGTCTCCCTGCGACAGTTTGAACCCTTCCAACAATGACGGATATTCTGGGATGCGTCTCAGTTATAGTCATGCTTTGGGTAGTCACGGAGTGTGTGCGCACACCCTAGCCAGTGGCGGAGGTGTTTATACTTGGAGCTTACGTTGTTGTAGGTTTCTTCAAAAAGACACAAGAAGTACACTTTAGAACTTGTGAAATGTTGTAAATAGGAGAGCAAAAGCATGACGAAACAAGCATGCTGTTTGAATGGTGCGTGGCACATGCAGCCTTTGCAGAGTTTCAAAATTTCGGAGGTGCATGACCACGTGCTGGGACACCGCGCAGGGCCAATGCGAGGGGACGGCCAGATTGCGTCACTTTTGGCTCGTGCCGGGTTTAACGCGTCAACCATAAACCAGGCTTGATAAATCGACTTTTGCCCCATCTTGAAAACAAATAGAAGAGATAAATGAGTAGAGATGGAGTTGCATATCAACTGGTTTAATCATCAAATAATTCATTCAACATTTTATTTTCTACAATATTTCATTTTATTTTTTTAATTTTTAAAGTAAAAAAGTAATTAGAATATTCTAAATAAGGTTTGAGATAAGGCAATGTGTTCGATTTTCCCCTGGATTTGTCCTGGCCACGTAACTACGATGGTGCAACAACCCATCTGACTGGTCCCTGATCAGCTGGCAAGCCGATCATTTAGGTAGTTGGAAGTTTTGTTGTCCTGCAGCAATGTCTTGGTGACGTCAAACAGATTCTGCTGGTAGGCAAGTCTGTACCGAGTGTATGCATCATCACAGTAGGTCAGCAGGCGCTTCACGTTGGAGGTGGAGCTGCCAGGGGAGCTGTCCAGCCTGAAAAACAGCACACAGACACACATTAAAGGAAGTCTCGGGTGATCTATCCACAGTAACCTCAATGCCTTCTAAGCACTAAAACACAAGTTTACTCTTACTTCCTAAAGATGTCTTCAAAAAGAGTGGAGGTGAGGGGGCGGTGGCGTTTCAGCTCCTCCAGGTAAACGAAGTCTCCCTTCAGGACCACCTTCTGGTACAAAATGTCAGGCCAGTCTGGACTGTAGGAGTACGCCTCGGACAAGACGAAAACCTGGGAGACAAAACCAGTGTTTGGAAGGACTGTTAGAGCTTCTTAAACACTGCAGCTCATGCAGACACAAACCAAGTCTCATCTGGACTAAGATGGCTTGTTACATTTCAACAGATGTTATTTTTTCATCCACGTGTTTTCATATTTATCATGTTTAAACTTGTGTGGCGTAGCTTTTTTTAGTCTTTGTAATATTGTTAAAACTGGAAGAGTGACTTCAACAGATCCCAAGAATCTCAGAGATCTCTGTCCCAAAGAGCTCAGTCCTGTGAAGAGCTCAGATGCAGAACACTCAAAACTCTTTACCTCTCTGCAGGAGTTGAGAACCATCATATCTGCTCACATTCTGAGGTGTTGTCATGCTGACTTCTAAAGGGTGTGGTCCTCCAGCTCAAAAGAAGCTGCTGGTGGCCTTTATTCAACAATTTTAAGTTAGACATTTTCTACTGCAAACTGTCCCACCACCAGAATTTTCTGTTTAACATATCTTATGTGACAAATGAAGTGGTGGGCACAGTTAACCAAAAGATTAGCTTCACTTTCACCTAAACTGCTGCACAACTTTCTAGTTCTGCTAATGATAAAAAGCTAAAGAAAAATGAATTTAGAGAAAACTAAGGCTAAACCGCTAACATTAATCATATTAAAATACAGTCTACCACTCAGTATAGCATGCAACAGTACTTGGGGTTTATCCTTTGAACACCCCCTAGTGTTCATTTCCCTCTTTATCCCACTGCTTTACAGTCAGTAACTAAACTTCAACAAAGATACTGTATAAAACCAAACCTAAATGTCTAATGTGACAAATGTAAGTCAGCACATCTCAAAATGTTTTATAGATCACAGATAAAAATATTTATCTGTTTTAGAGGTGAGCTAGTTATAGTTTGTTATAATTATAGTTTGTTTCTGTTCAGCCAAGAGACAGAGCTACAACTGCTGAAACCAGAAGAGCAGACAGGGTGGTGAAAAACCAGGAAGTGACAAATTACAGTCTTTGAAATTGTGTTTCTGCTAATGGTCCCCAATCACCGAGGCGGGGGACTTAGAAATTCTCCTTTCTCCATCCGTCTGTCCGTCACAGTTTCAGAAAGCTGTAACTTTCACAAAGAAAGGCTAAAATACACCAAACTTGGTATGAGTGATCCATGCTGCATGCCCGACCATACCATGTGGTCAAATGACATCATCAAAGCCCTGCCCCATAACAACAGGAAGTGACCTTTTTTTGGCTTGGAAAGCTCCATCCTTGACCCTCTTGACCTAATCAGCAACAAATTGTGTCAGAATACAGATAATATGTTGATCTCACTCGCTTTCAAGCACAAAGACATTTTGGTAAAAGGCATGGTCATGGCTGTGCGGCAAAGTTAGACCCCACGCTGTTGACATGAGTTTGGCTCTAAATTCCACACACTTCAGCCAATCTGCACCGAATTCACTATGATCCATCCTAATCCATCCCACTGCAGGAATGCAGTACAATTCATGGGGGACGTGGCCAAATTAGACATCACATCGTTGACATACGTTTGGCTCTAAATCACACATGCATGATCAGATCTGAACCAAATATTGTGTGCATCATAAGGGAGACCTGCTCAACGTTTGTGTAGTAGTTTGACAAAATTACACTGTGTTCCAAATTATTATGTAAATATTTTCTCAGATTTTCCAAAATTACCAACATGAATTACAGTCATTGTAATTTTCTAGTCATCAACTATTAGACTACAACTGAAAGGTTTTTGAACAAACTGCCAATGATAACAGTATATTTAAAAACAATAAATCACTCAAAATGCATGTTCCAAATTATTATGCACAGCAGAGTTTAACATTTTCATTTTCATAAAAAACAAAAAAATGGTCATCTGTGAAATTATAAGCATTAACAGGTTATTACAAACTGAAATCAAACAGTTTTCAAGTCAAAACTTTATTCTAGGTGATGTTACATTTGCACATATTCGAAAGGAGCTTCAGAACTCTCTCGTCCATTGAATTTGTCAGGTTTTGGATGGTATCTGCTTCAATTGTTTTGCACGAGGACAGAATACCCTCCCAGAGCTGTTGCTTAGATGTGAACTGCCTCCCGCCATCATAGGCACTCCTTTTGATGATTCTCCAGAGGTTCTCAATGGGGTTGAGTTCAGGGGAGCATGGGGGCCACACCATAAGTTTTTCCCTTTATGCCCAGAGCAGCCAGAGATGCAGATGTGTTCTTTGCAGCAAGAGACGGTGCATTATCATGCATGAAAATGATCTTGCTGCGGAATGCACGGTTCTTCTTCTTGAACCATGGCAGGAAGTGTTGTTTGAGAAACTCCACATACATTATGGAGGTCATCTTTACCCCTTCACGGATCCTAAAGGGGCTGAAAATCTCTCTTCCCATGATTCCAGCCCAAAACATTACTCCACCTCCTCCTTGTTGGCGCTGTAGCCTTGTTCACATAGGGTGTCCATCAACCAGCCATCCTCCACTCCATCCATCTGGACCATCGAGCGTTGCACGGCACTCATCGATGAACAAAACAGTTTTGAAGTCAGTCTTCATGTATTGTTTGGCCCACTGGAGCCATTTCTGCTTGTGTGCAGTGTATAGAGGAAGTCGACAGGATGGCTCATGCACAGCTGCAAACCTCTGAAGGACCTTGCATCTTGTTGTTCGGGGGATGTTGGAGGCACCAGCAGCTTCAAAAACTTGTCTGCTGCTATGACAAGGCATTTTTGCAGCTGTTCTTTTAACCTGATGTAATTGCCTGTTGGAAAGAGTCCTCAATTTTCCCTTATCAGCACGCATACTTGTGGGCTGTGAATCAGCTACGTACTTCTTGATTGTGCATGATCACGATGAAGTGTCTTGGCAATGTTGATTGTAGGCATGCCTTGACCTAAACACTCCATAATTTGTTGCTTCTCAGCAGCTGACACATCCTTTGGCTGTGTCCAAAACGGCAGGATGGGTCCTCCGAAGGTCGAATTTGTCGGCCGCATACGTCACAGCGCCGCGACGAAGGACGTCCAAAACGGAAGACTCCTCTGATGCGTCCGACAAATACGTCCTTCTTTTGGCCCGAATCGAAGGACAGGTCCGATGGATCCTTCCCGGCCCAGCATATCCCATAATGCATTGCGGCCCGACCGGAGATTTTTTTAAGCTAGTAATGGCGGACGAAGCGAGAGAAAAGAATACATTTTAAATAAAAATATGGTGATTTAAAAATTAAAAAAAATTAGCAGTTGTAATTCTAATACTTTTATCATTGGTATGGACATGTTTTTAAATATTATTTTTGTCATAAAAAAACGTGAAATAAACATGAACCTACAGCGGGTCAATTAGTTCTTCAAATGATACTTTTAAGTTAATTTTATAGTTTTGTGATATTAATAATGCTAATGTATTGATATTTTTCTAGTTTTGATTTAAGTTTGCTTGTTTAGCGTCGTCACAGTTGCTAGGTGACAAGACGTACGCCGGGGTAAGGAGGAGAGGCTAGACCGTCCAAATCCACAGCCTCTTTTTTTCCGGTCTTCCCGGTCTACCAAGGACCCGGCCTGCCGAGACCGGGTAGTCTGGGTCCTCCGGAGGACCCGTCCTGCCGTTTTGGACACAGCCTTTTTCTTTCCCATTTTGGCTGAAAATGTAGGCTGCTTAATAATGTGGGACAGCCTTCTTAAGTAGTCTTGCCTTTAATTGGACACACCTGCCAAACTAATTAGCACAGGTGTCTGCAATTGCTTTCAGTGATGTAAAGAGCACTGACACACATCACCATCAATGAGTTTAAATAGCAAACCAAAAAATTCTGACCTTATCACTCCTAAACACGTTTTGCATATTAATTTGGAACAGTGTACATTAACCCCCAGTTCATCCGTCTTTTCACCTTATGAGATTATTTAAATAATGAAAACCTGTGATAATTCCAACAAAACGGCTAACGGTTGGTTACTCCTGAATCGTGACGGGGGACATCTGCGACAGTTGGCGTGAGGTTCTACCTTGTTAATTTTGCAATAAATGTAAAAAATTCTGTCTGTGACTGAATAACGTCCAAAGAATGTAAAGGCTGCTGGGAAAAAAATGAAAACTGAAACCATGAGTCAGAAGATCTAGGCCTGTATTTATCAAACTTCTTACAGGAGAATTTTTCTGAGATGGACTGAGAAGACAGATCACAGATGCCCACCTCAAGAATACTCTGCACCACCTCAGAAACTGCACTAAGTGGGTCAGGGGTCTTCCACCTGAGTGTTATTCTCAGTTATAATGTACAGAGGAACTAACTATAAGGTGCGGAAAACAGATTTAGTCATCAATACAAAAGAAAGAAGGAGGAAAAAAACAATTAGCAGTACCATAATATTGGACTAAAGCAGGGGTTCTCAAACCGTTTAGGTCTGGGGACCCCTTACCAGGGCGAAAAAAATTTCATTGACCCCCTCATAAACCCCACGCTGTTTTAAAAGATAATTTATTGTCATTTCAACCCCTAAATGCTATGGGAATATGTAATTGTATTTAGTTTATTATGTTGGTTTTATTAGTTCTTTGTTCCCCATGCATTTTTAAAAATAAAAACCAAATTAAAGGGGCAATATCATGTAAAATCAACTTTTTTGAGTTTTATATCATGCTATAATGTTACTCTCATAAAAAACATGCCCAAAGCCTTGCTTTGACTCACTCATGTATGTTTGAGAAATCCTTCAGTAGTTTTAGGAAGCCATGCTGAGGAGCAAAACGACAGGTGGGGAACAGAAACGCCTTTTAATACCAGAAACGCCCCTGGGGTGTGTCTTTAAGCCAAACTTCCTCATGGCAGAGCACACACCCCATCCCCCCACACCCCGCCCATGACTCCTGCAGGCTCTCGGGTGAAAGTGAAACCTTACTGACTGCTGAGCTCTCAACATTAGTTCTCTCACTCAGTGAAGCTCTTTTCAGATTAAAAATACCTTTGAGGAAATGAATTTTCAGATGCCAAGTAAACTACATCATGGCAGCCTCCCCCCCCCCATAACAAGATGGGTTTCCTGCCTCTCAGTCACATTCCCTTCACCATCTTTTTCAGTTTCTCCCTTCTGGCAGGCGTTATAAAGTTCCATTGGCCAGGAAAAACATATATAAAAAAATAATTTGTCCCTTCTGCAATTACTCTACTAAACAAAGCTGCATAGTTACATCCCCACCCCCATTTTAGGACTGTTTTAAATTTGGTTGTTTTGTGTGGATGTGGATTTTATTATAGCACTTAGTGTCATTGATGTTTGCCTTTTTTTTTTTACTTATTTTTGAATGGATGTTTTTAACATGAAGCCCTGTCAAAGATGATTTTCTGTCACCTTTGGGACAGACAATAAAGTTTATTTATATAAAGTTTATCTATCTAAAGTTTATCTATCTATCTTATCTTTTTGTCACATTTTTCATTTTGAACAAATAGAAACTGGATCAAGTTCAGTTCATCAAGATGGAAAAACATCAGGAATGACCTCAGAGAAGCAACTGTTGCTGTCCATCAGTGCAAATCTGAGAAGATAAGAGTGAAGGTTTCCCATAGTGACAAAACGTTGATCTGGATCAGAAACAGACCTGATAACATCTGGGCAGAGCCATGATGGCAGCTGGCATCTCTGCAGGCCGGAGGTTGATGATGCGCAGGTCAGCTCCCTGGTTCAGGAAGTGCAGCTGGAGAGCAACCAGTTTAGCAGTCTGAACACAACGAGTGGCCTGACGTACACACGAGTCCTGGGAGTCGCACACACACACACAGAAACACACACTGAGATTGTCTCGCAGCCTAAGTTAGCAAAGAGAAGTAGTCCGGTACCTTGGAGAAGCTCTCAGCAGCATCCTTCAGCAGAGCCAACACTTTGTTCAACGAACTCTTCAGCTCAGGAGTGACGACTGTAATAAAAAAGGCAAAATGACAAAAATAAACTAGTTTCAACTAGTTTATTTTGGAACAGATTCCCAACTCACCCCACATTCGAGACTCGATCATCTTCAGCTGCGTTCTGGCTGCCATCTCATGGTTCTCTCCGATCTCCCTCCTCATACTGAAACACAGCGCCACCATGTTGTGCTTCTCACTGTCTGCAGGGAGGAAGCGCTTGATGTAATCCAGCAGAGCCATCTTCAGACCGGAGCTCTGCAGTGAGGAGAGAAGGCGGGACGCACTTGTTATGCAGTCAATGCAAAGTTTGAAAACAGTCTGCACATGTTTAAACTGATGTGATGAGAAAATTACAATGTACTAACAAGAAAACATTAAAATAACTCCTGACCAAAAACACTTGTTCAGGTTTGAGCTGTACATCGCTGCTTCTATGTTCTTCTGGGAGATAACAGACAGGATAATGAAAACAAACATCAACAGTTAGGGTTGTGTGCATGTCCAACCTGTCCTCTCTCTGTGTCCAACTTCTTTCTGAGGAGCATCTCAAAACAATGGTTCTGATGTAGCAGGTCAAAGACGTACGTCATTTCATTATATCGGCCAATACCTGTCAACAGTCGCACCTGCACACACACACACACACACAC